CTCTCACTTGATCACACAACCTTTGCTCAGATATGCCTAAATCACCTCCTCTGACCTTCCAACTCTCATACATCCTTTTTCTGTACCCCCTAACTGACCTGCCATTATTATCCACAGGATTAGATAAGTAATAACATTCCATTGCTGCTACATTCATGGCCTTAGTCCACCTGGTTCTCTGAAGACTTCCTGAAGAAGACATTTTCTCAGCAGCTCAATTACAACTTGACTTATTCTGCTGTACAATAAGACTCCAATTGGGCACCACACCAAATTTGATGTACTTTATATGCCGTTATTCTCTACTCTAGTAGAAATCTTTACCACACACATGCATCACCATTCCATCTCCATTTTGATCGCATGGTTCATTTTATTATTATTATTATTATTATTATTGTTATTATTATGATTATTATTATTATTATTATTATTATTGTTATTGTTGTTATTATTATGAGTGTGAGAAAGGAATGTGATTATTATTATCATTATTTATTATTATTATTATTATTATTATTATTATTATTATTATTATTATTATTATTATTATTATGATTATTATTATTATTGTTTATATTTTGATGAGAGGGAAAAAGGAATATTATTATTATTATTATTATTATTTTATTATTATTATTATTATTTGTGACCATAATTAACAAAAGGTACCTTATGGTGGATTTAAAAATTCATCATTATAATGGAAAATATCAACCTGTGAGTGCTTTGTTGGGCAATCATTGTTTCTAATAGTTATATATATAGTAACTTTTTGTATCCTGTGGAGTAATTTTATGATAAATGGAGCTCAGGAAGTTAGATTTTTTGGGTTTAATGACAAATTTCACTACCCGCCATTAGGTACCTATGTCTATTATGGTCACATTTTATTATTATTATTATTATTATTATTATTATTATTTTTATTTATTATTATTATTATCATTATTATTGTTATTATTATTAAGAGAGAGCGAAAGGAATATTATTATTATTATTATTATTATTGTTATTATTATTATTGTTATTATTATTATTGTTATTGTTATTTTTATGAGAGTGAGAAAGGAATATTTTTATTATTATTATTGTTTAGTGTTGTTCTAGTTCTTTGGAACTAGAACTAAAAAGTCATTTAGTTTCATTATTTTTAGCTAGTTTTAGTTCCTAGAACTAAAACTATAACTAAACTAATGGTTTTCTAGCTATAGAACTTTAACTAGAACTAGAACTAATAGCTAACTCTTCTTTGAACTATAACTAGAACTAGAACTATTTGTAAATTAATGTTGGTACTAGAACTAGAACTACAACTATTATTTTTATGGAACTAATGCTAGAACTTCATGCTATTGACTACATAAAATGTTGCCAACTAGCTTGATTAGAGCTTATGTCATTGAAAAGTGTCAAAGTAAAGGAAAGAGAACTAAACTAGAACTAGAACTACACTAGAACTAGGGAAACCAGGAGCTTGGAACTAGTACTAGAACTATAACTATGTAGAGTATATGCTTGGAGCTAGAACTAAAACTAGAACTGTACAAACTAAAAATTTGGAACCAGAACTACAACTAAGACTAAGCAAATTAAAGGCTTAGAACTAGAACTAAAACTAGAACTATTTGAAAAGTAAGAACTAGAACAACACTATTATTGCTGTTATTTTTATTATGAGAGTGAGAAAGGAATATTATTATTATTATTATTATTATTATTATTATTATTATTATTATTATTATTATTATTATTATTATTATTATTAAAAACTAACCAAAATACACCAAGTAGGACAAAAGTAGTTTAGGAATAGAAATAGTGTTGGAAAAAAAATTAATGTAATAGTAATTTGTTCATTTTAGTGCATAATAATGTTATGGGGGAAACTGTCAGCCATATTCATTGATCTCCATTTGGTACGTGTGCCCCTAAAACATAAAATTGTGGCTCTCAAAGTTGAGAAAGTTAGATGAGTCCTAATCCACCCTAATACCTGAGCATAGTTGGTGTTCCATTATTATTATTATTATTATCATTATTATTATTGTTATTGTTATTATTATTATGAGAGTGAGAAGGAATATTATTATTATTATCATTACTATTATTATTATTATTATTTAGTATTATTATTATTATTTTTATTGTTATTATTATTCAGAGAGTGAGAAAAGTCTTCAACATCTTGTGAAACAGTTCAGAGGAATAGGACTGAGTATGAATACAGGGGAAAGAAAGTATTGAACAAAAAATATCTATAACAATAAGTTATTTCTTATCTTTTAAAAATAGATATGTAAGAAGCTCTTCTTGTTCGTATACAGTATCAGAAATGGTACTTACAAGAACTTGAGGAGGCATTTCCTTCAAAATGGAATAAAACCTAGGTAAAAATAATAAGAATAATCCAAAGGAGAGTAATTAAAATTTTTATTGAAGGGTTCATGGGAACACTGGTCGCATTCCTTGTCATGCTGTTTCTGTGGAAGGCATTAAAGATGTGGTAGCATTTTTGGAGAACTATGCTGAAGACTACACCATATTACTACCTGGGAGGATACCTGGAGTGAGGGATTATGGGAAGGCCAAGCTATTGCCGTCCAGTGTGTCCCGACACAAGGTTTACCGGCAGTATGCTGATGCTGGTAGGGAACATACTCTCT